GAACGTGCCAGGGGGCGTGACCTTTGCAACGCGCGGGCCCCAAGATGACCGACGCCTTCTCGGGGGGTAGCGTTTCGCACTGGGTCCACTTCTGCTGGCCCCAGCGCGGGAGGCCCACACCGAGGAAACACAAAAAACGCCCGTTGGAAACATCATATCGTTACAGTGCGGGCGCGGCCGCAAGAAACCCTCGCAAGAAACCCAACCCTGGAAACCCGCGCGCGAGGTGCACCCGAGGGGAAGCCCAGGTGCACCCTGAACGCACCAGCTCCTGCAGCGGCTGCGGGAAGTCACCGCGCAGCTCACGGAGCGAAGAAACCCAGGATGCCCTCACGAAAATCATATGGTTTCTCGATGCGCACCCCCACTGCAGCTTCCCGCCCCCGTCAAAGCGGTTGATCGCGCACGCCAGCGTCGTGACGAAACGCAACGGGTCCCCAGCAGTGCGGTCGATAGACCCGGCGCGGAGGGGCCGGCCTCCCAGGCAGGACGGCCCCAGAGGGGCAGCAGAACGGAGCCGGTGGGAGGAGCGGCTGGCAAGGGCAGATCAGTTAGAGGAGGAGGAGGAGGAGGAGGAGGAGGAGGAGGATGAGGAGGAGGACAGTAGAGGACGACAGTTGAGGAGGACGACGGCAGTAGAGGAAGAAGCAACTGCATGAACAGAAACTTTGGAAGTCCGCGCGGACTTCTTCGACCGGCGCTGGACCCCCTCCCTGGCGCGCGGAGCGCGCCACAGGCGCCGCCAGGTGGGCCCAGCGCCGATCCAAGACGTCCGCGCGGAGCTGCGACAGTTTATGCCCATGCCACATTTTTGGCCCCTCGAGGAGATGGCCAAATCAGCCACCTGCTGGCCCGCAGGTGTGGAAGGTCAAGCGCCGAGGGAAGAGGACGAGAGCGGAAATCTGGGAGCACGTGCCCTGGGGGGGCGCGCTCGCCAGACAGCGGCGCCAGGGGCGAGGGGTGTGCGGCCTCGGACGTCAGCACGCGGGATGCCGCGTCGCCCTGCGCCGCCAGGGCCCGCGCGGCCTCCTGCGGAGGCGGGGCCCGTGCCTCCCCGACCGCGGCGTGGAGACGATCGGGCTCCGCATTGAGCTGCATCGGCGATGCGGCGCGATCCCTCGACCCCATCTGCTCGGACCCTGTTCGGGAGGCCTGGACCCTCGCGCTCAAGGGGCAAGGGAAAGGATCGGCTCGGCCAGGCCGAACTCGGGCCAGCCGAGCTTGGCCAGGCTGGGCTCGGCCTGGGCCGAAATCAGCTTGGCCTAGCTCAGCCTGGCCGAGGTCAGTCAGCCGAGGGCAGCCTGGCCGAACTCAGCTGGCCTGGTCTGTCCTGGCGAAGTCCACCTGCTGCCCTCGAAGGACCAAAAAAACGGCACGCGCATCAGCTTCCGGAGGTCCGCGCGGACTTCTTGGATCTGCGCCGACACCCCTGCCTGGCGCGCAGGGCGCGCCGGAGTCGGTACTGGAGGCGCCGCCAGGGGGTTCCAGCGCCGACCCACGAGCTCTGCGCGGAGCTGCGAACGTTGATGCTTCTGCAGACTTTGCTGCCTCGATCCCCCTCCGCCCGCGGGCCGCCCGCAGGCCCCCAGTGTCGTGCGCTGTTCGGGCGCCCGCGGGCCGCCCAGGCCCCCGGTGTCGTGCGCTGCCGCACTCTCGGGCCCCGGAGAGGTCAGCTCGTGGCCTTCGGGAGCGTGTCGGGCGATCCCCCAGGGGAGGGTGTCGGTAGCTCTGGGGGCCCCGCGTCGCCGCAGTCGCGGCGTCTGGTATCTGGGGCCATCTCCTGCACCTCTGCTGTTCACCTCCGCCATCATCGTGATCATCACCATCACCAGCACCAGCACCAGCACCAGCACCATCACACTGCCACCACCATCATCACCGTCACCATCACCATCACCATCACCACCATCACCATCGCCATCACCATCACCATCACCACCAACACCACCATCCCCATCCCCATCCCCATCCCCATTCTCCTCCTCCTCCTCCTCCTCCTCCGCCTCCTTATCAGCATCATCACCATCACCATCATCATGATCATCACCATCATCAGCATCATCATCCCATCAGCATCAGCATCGGCACCAGCATCACCATCATCACAATGACCATCACCATCACCAACGCCATATCCATATCCATCACCATCATTGTCATCATCACCATCACCGTCACCATCACCATCACCATCAGCATCAGCATCAGCATCAGCATCAGCATCAGCATCAGCATCAGCATCATCATCATCATCATCATCATCATCATCATCATCAGCACCATCATCAGCACCATCACCATCACCATCACCATCACCAGCATCAGCATCAGCATCAGCAGCAGCATCATCATCGTCGTCATCACCACCATCAGCATTGCCAGCGTCATCACCATCATTCCCATCACCACCATCATCATCACCACCAGCATGACCTCCATGTTCCTCACATCTGCCGACCCTGTCGGTGTGGGGAAGACGCTGTTCTGTTTGACTCGTCGTCGTCGTCGTCGTCGTCGTCGTCGTCGTCGTCGCGTGCGACATTTCCTGGGTTCGTCGCGCTCCCTCCCTTTCACTGGGCCCTCCTTCTCAAGCGAGCCAGCCAACGCGAAATTAAAGCGAAATTAAGCCACGTCGTAGTTGAGTCGAGGGGGCGTCCCTTCCCTTTGATCCCTTCCCCGTGGGGGTGGGGGAGGGGGGGTCCTGGGGGGTGCCCGGTCAGAATGTCATCCTTCCCTGGAGGTTCCTGGGGCCGAGAAGTGCCCTAAGACAGCCCAAGCGGCCCCCAAGACGGTCCAAGGGGGCCCTGAATCGCCGAACAATCCGTCCACGACTCCAGAAATGGCCTCCTGCTTCCAAGACGCTCGATGAGGCCTTAAAGAGCACACCAAGATGGCCTCAACAGGCAAACTTACATGATTGCCTTATGGTTGGTCTTTGCAAGATTCTGGCGTTCCCACGCCTCTTCGGCTTCCCGACGCCCCAAGCGGTCTCCAGCACGGCCCCACAACGACGCGAGAGGACCCCAAGACGGCCCTGAAGGCCTCTCAGACGGCCCAAGAGGCCCCCCAGCCGGCTCTGAGAGGGTGCCCGCACGGGGGCCCGGGCGAGCATCTCGAGCCCTCGGCCCCGAGAAGATCCCGGGAGGCTCCAGGAGGCCCCTCAAGATGCTCCCAAGAGGCCCCAAACACTGCCCCCCAGAGGCCTGCGAGCGCGCTCCGAAGAGGCCCCACGGAGCATCACCGAGGACTCTGCCCCACGTCGGCGTCGTCGTCGTCGCCGCCGACGCCGCCGTCGTGGTCGTCCCCCTCGGGGACGCACCGACCTGGGTCAATGCAAACCAGGGTCAGTCAGGCGTTGCAGGATCCCGCAAGGTCCTGCAAGATTCTGCAGGATCCCGCAGGATCCTGCACCCAAGCCGGGTCAATGCACCCCTGGCTCTGCAGGACCCTGCTGCAAGATCTGGCGCTCTGGCTGACCCCCGTTTGCGTTGACCCCCGTCTCTTGAGCCCCGACCCCGTTCAGTGGAGGCCTCCTGGGTGGGGTCCTTCTTCTCCTCAGCTTGACAGGGCAGAGCTTGGGCCCCCCCCCTCTCGGAGGGCGACGATCAGGGCGAACAGCCCGGGGGCGGGCGTGGCACGTGCTCGCCGGGGAGCGTCGACGAAAACATGGACCATCGGCGCCCCTGGATTAAGGTCGGGCTTGTCGTCCCACAGGCGGATTTTGGACGAGAAATGACAAATAGTCAAGACATATTGAACAAATAGTCGAGAAATCGTCCCCAGACTATTCTTGGACTATCTTTGAATCTTCCTCCTGTAGAGGGACATGCCCGACTTGACCCTTGCTGCGTGCATTGCCCCCCACTTGGCTATCCGCCCCCATCGTCGCCTCGACCCTCCCAAGCAGACGGGCTGGAGAGCGACCGCGTCGAGGTCTCGAGGAGAGGAGAGCGGCGGCGGCGGCGGCGGCGGCAGCGGCCCAGCTGACAGCGGCGGGGCGCCGCCGCGGAATCCGGCGTCGGCTGCAGGGCAGTGCTTCGGGAGAGGCGGCGTGGCGCCAGGAGGTGGCCCGCCCGCCCCAGGGGGGAGGGGCCAACAGGTGGCCTTCAGAGCACCAGGAGGGGGCGTGGCCCCAGGAGGGAGGGCCCAGGAGGCCTTCAGAGCACCCCTCGCGAGACCCAGGCCCAGATGGCCTCCAGGAGCTCCGGGGTGGGGAAGACGTGGGCACTCCGCAAGATCACGTCCGGCAGCCTTCGACCGTCGGATGGCCCTGGGGCCCGGCCCCCCCTTGCGACGAACCGCCCTTGGCAGAGCAGGGTGCGGGCAAGGTTAAGGGTGACAAGATGGATGAGGTGCTGGGGAAGGACCAGGAACAGGGATCGCGGGGAGGATGATGAAATAGGGGCATGGAACTCAGTTTGCCAAGCGGGCGGGGGGGGGATGGGGGAGGAGGAGTGGGGGCAGGGAACATCTGAGGACGAGAGCAGCAGCAGCAGCAACGGGAGGTAGCAGCTGCGGTGCCAGCGTAAGCGACATCAGGAGGAGGAGGACGAGGACGAGGACGAGGAGGAGGAGGAGGAGGAGGAGGGAGGGGAGGAAAAGAGGGAGGAGGAGGAAGAGAGGAGGAGGAGGGAGGAGGAGGAGGAGGAGGAGGAGGAGGAGGAGGAGGAGGAGGAGGGAAGAGGAGGAGGAGGAGCATCCTTACGATGCGACTTGGATGCCGAGTAGACAGAGGCACGCATGCTATGGCACGGGCAGCCACGCGCGTCGGCGTCGCATTTGTCGTCAAAAGCCTTCAGGAGGACACTCTCTCCTCGCGCACCCCCCTCTTCTCCCCTGCCCCCCTTTCCCCCTGAGAAGGACGGGGAGGGGAGAACAGAAGAGACGGAGCCTCATGCAGCACTCTCACCGCGCCGCCCCGCAATCGCCGACGAGCTTTCCCACGGCGGCTTGCGAGAAACACATGAGCTTCTCAACGCGCTGGGTCTTCCTCGTTTGAAGCTCGTTGCGGATGCTATTTTTATCCGCTACCGTGCCTGCACGGAATGGGCGCTTTAGAATGCTTCTCTGCTACCTCTTCGGTGTTTCCAGGGCCCCATGTACCCCTCGCACCGACGTCCCTCTAACACCAGCCCCTTCTGAATTTGCTCTCTGGCGCCTGGCTGCGCTGCGTTCGGCTCCCATGCGATTCTAAGATCGTCAAAAACTGCCACGAGGACAGCCAAGCCCGTCACTAGACGGACACCGAAGCCCTCAAGATGGCCCCAAGACTGCCCACGAAGGCCTCGAGACGGTCCAGAAGGGTCTCAATATGGCCTCACTGCGGCCCCGATGTGTCCAAAGAGGGCGCCAAGAGGGCGCCCAAAAGGCCCTCGAGATGCAACTCATGTCGATTGTCTTTGGTTTTTCTTTTCAGAAACTTAAACTAACAATACGTCGACTACTTTTGAGCTTCTAGACGCAAGAGAGCCGCGCGACGGCCAAGAATGGCCCCAAGACGGCCAAAGATAACATAAGGGTCACAAAGGGTCCCGAGAGGCCTCCCAAACGGTCCAAGAGACCCCTAAGAAGGCCCCAAGAGGAGCCCAAGAGGGGGAACTCAAGCTGGCCTTGAAATCTCATCCCTTCGAGATTGCCTCCAAGACCCCCAACGTGCCCCCGTTGGCCCCCAAGATGCCCCCGTAGGCCCGCAAAATGCCCCGAGAGGCCCCCGAAGAGGGTCCCCGGGGGGCCTCCAAGAGACCCTCGATTGACCTCTAAGAAGCTCCCAGAGCAGCTCTAACAGGCCGCCACGAGTCCCTATGCGCATTCAAGGGGGAGGAGAGGGGGGAGGGATTACAATCAACCCGCATCATAAGGATGCACGATGAGGATGCGAGGGCCTTGGGCGCCCATTTCGAAACTTTCCCAGCGGGGCGCGGCCAGCGAACGTGGCCCAGGATGCACCGAGGAGGCGAGGATGCAAGGGTCTTCTTGGGAAGGTTGCCCATCCTTACTATGCAGAACGAGGCTGCGGACCAGGAGGGGGGTGTTCAAGACCCGCTCCATCTCAGCGCCCTGTCGGAACTAGAGCGGGTCTTCAAGTAAACCTCCTTCCTGCGGTGTTGCTGCACTGCTGCGCTTGCACGGTGGCGGGGTTTGCCGCAGGCGACTGGCTAACTTTCCCAATTCGTGTTCCTGAAGGTCTTGTCAAGGAACTCATCTTGCACCCCTTCCTTCCTATTATATCGGCAATGATTCGAGGTGCCGGAGCAGTAGAACTTCTTGTGAATCCTCCTGATGCGCCAGTCAATAAACTTGTCCATCGACTGCTGGATCAAGCCAGCATATTCGTGGGCGATCTTATTCACGCGTGGTTTCAGATCGGCGATGAAGAGAGGCCTGGCACCGGCGATCGTGGTCAATACGTTCAGTTGAAGCTCAGCATAAAGCCATTGTATCTCCACAGCCACTTCATCGTGATTCCAGCGGTCGCAGTCGTCGTAAGTTGGCTCAGAACTGCCCTTCCCCTGAGTGGAATTATCCAGCGACGCGCCAGCGTAATGCGTCCTGATCATCGCATGGTTGCTGGAGGTTCCACCTTCAGCCAAAGCTGGTTTGACGGAGTTGTCAGGCGACGCATCTGCACCGTGCGCGCTGATCATGCCCAGCCGCTGGAAATCGGAGTTCGCCTCCATCAAACTTGGCCTGGTGATGCTTGTCCACGGCTTCTTCCCGATCCGCTACCGTGCCCCCATGGCACGTTGAGGAGTGGCAGACGAGGAGGGGGAGGACGAGGAGGGGGAGGACGGGGAGGAGGAGGAGGAGGAGGAGGAGGAGGAGGAGGAGGAGGAGGAGGAGGGGGAGAGAGGAGAGGAGGAGGAGGAAGAGGAGGAGGAGGAGGCAAAATCTTCTGCCATCACCGTGTCAGGGCGCCGTCAGCCCAAGACGGCCCAAGAGGCCCCGAGACGGCACGAAAGGCTACCAAGACGGCCTCAAGAGGGCTCGAAGACTGCCCCGAGACAGCACAGAGAGGCCCCCGAGACTCCGAAAGCGCCAGACGGCCCAAGAGCACCCTCAGACAGCCCACGGAGCCCCCTAGAGCCTCCAAGGCGCCCCGAAGTCGCCCCCCAGAGGCTGCCCCAATATGCCCAACAAATCCAGTGTCACATGTGACGGCCTTCCGCTTCCTCCTCCTTCTCCTCCTCCTCCTCCTCCTTCTCATCATCTCCCTCATTCTGTCGTCCGCCTACATTGCCCTCCTCGTCGTCGTCGTCGTCGCCGTCACCATCGCAATCACAATCACCACCAGCATCATCACCGTAATCATCACCATCATCATCATCTCCACCAGCATTATCAGCACCACCATCATCACCATCACCACCACCACCATCACCATCACCATCAAATCACCATCACCACCATCGTCATCGGCAACAGCATCATCATCACAATCACCATCACCATCAGCAGCATCATCACCACCATCGTCATCAGCATCATCATCATCCTCCTCGTCGTTATTATCATCACCATCAACATCAACATCATCATTCTCATCATCATCATCATCACCATCACCATCACCATCACCATCACCATCACCATCACCATCATCATCATCATCATCATCATCATCATCATCATCATCATCATCATCATCATCATCATCATCATCATCATCATCATCATCATCATCATCATCGTCATCAACATCGTCATCGTCACCATCGCTATCGTGGTCATCATCATCACGATCAACATCACCAACATGGCGCGGAAGATCGCATCACATGCTACAACTCCCTCAACCCTCGGGACACAAAGCACCACGCGTTACCGTGCCCCCTCGAACAGCCGCCACCGAACATATTGGGCTGACACGAAGGCGGGACTTGCCACAGGCAGCTGGATACATACATCATGGAACACCAACGACTTCTTGGTCGCCAGATCGTGCTGGACAATCAACCACCAAGATATTCCAACCTCGGGAACTGTTTTCTCCACCATGCCTGGCATCCAGCTCACCTCTTCGACGAGGTCCTTCAGCTGGAGGTTGAGAGTACGAGCTCTGTCCCTTCTGATCCTTTTGTCAACCTCCGTCATGATGGCCTTGATTAGAGCATCGTTTGAATTGCCACCCAGGAAACTCATGAAGATCCCTGCAAAGAAAGCCAGAGCTGGGTTGATCAGACCTACAATTGTTAAGGCACTTGATGCCAGGGCTTGCAAAGAAGTTTCTAAGTCTTTGCCCTGTACGAGATTCATGAAGAGACCCGCAGCGCCGCCTGCAACTTTGCCCCCGAATTCATTGGGATCTAAATTGTTGGGACAGCAATGTCCATTGTACAATGGCCTGGAAGCATTCGACCTGGCATTAAATAGACTCGTCCTTGTCGTGTGTGCCTGCTCAAGAAGATCGACCCGTCGAAGCTCTTCCAAGGCGTATGTCAGAAAACGACCGTGAAGCAGTGAATCTTCGACCTGTGAGTGCGAACGTTGCAAGTTCCCATCGCGCATCGCCTCCAGCTTCTCCTCGACTTGGCGCTTCTGCTCAGCCAGCCCTGCCGTCCAATCGATCGTGACCATGATGCTCGCGGTGCCCATATTATCGTCCTTCAGCTTGATCGCAGCAGCGTTGTCGGCAACGCCGTCGCCTGTCTCATCGCCGCGTGGGTCATGGACTTGGAAAGGCTCGACCAGGGCGCTCTTGCTGCAGCGATCCTGCATGTCAAGTGCGCTGAACACATCATCGAGTGTGCATTTGTCTGCGTTTTTGCAACAGCTCTTAGGCGAGTCTTGGCAGCACGATGCATTTCCACGGGCGCGCGAGATGTCCAAGCACAATACCTCCTCTGTCGTATAGTTTTCTTCTTTTTCGCTGCCATATTTGGCGCGGACCTCTGCACATGAAAAACCTCTGTCTTTCCAAACTTTATGTTTCCCGTCCCGATAGTGCTGACCATTGAGCTGACCATCGTAGTCGACCCCCATCCTTCTGAATAGAGATTCCTCCATGGGGCTAGGCCTGTCCGTCTGCGCAATGTCCACCACGCCATCTGGCAGAACCGATGCTACTGCACTGGTCGATGCCCCAAGCTGGAGGAACGCCCCCAGGAAGCAGCAGACAGGTACAATCCTCGAAGCCATCTGTCCGAAATGATCAGAGAAAGACCAACACGCTGAAAATCTCTTTTGCCTTCTTGTGAATCGCACTCGGCGCTGACGCCTGGACTGCTTGTCCGGCTTGAGCATGAACAAGGATTAGAAGGATAACTATGGGCCCATTCGTTCCACACCCACCTGATCCCACCAGCCCTGTAGGGCGTAGGTGGTCTATGGAACTTCCTCTTCCAAACCCCCTTCTTCCCCTTCGGGGAGGGGTTTATCACTGCTCCCTATTAATGAACACCAACTCCCCCGCCCGGCCAGCAGCCAACCCGGAAACATGCGCACGCCATGAGGGCCCCCTCCCACCATCCCTGTCAAAAACAATACGAAATGCACATTGCGGGGCCCACCCTGCCAATACCCTCCACAATCCCTTTCAAACAAAAATGCGAAGTGCACATTGCAGCAAAATCTTGACAGTGCGCTGGTGCCCTGTGAGCACGTTATATTTTTTGACAAGGATGGCGGGGCACCCTGAATGAAGCCGCTCTGTGCAGGACCACCATCCGTGCAAAAACAATACAAAGTGCACGTTGCGACAACGTCGTAGGTATTGTGCTAACCACCCGCGATCACTGGGTATTTCCCAACCATCCTGTGGTGTTGGGTCCTCGTTTTGAAGAGACGGTCCCCGCGTTCCCTCCTTCCTTCCTCCCTTCTCCCTCCCCCTCCTCCCTGCGTGTCACCCACCCAGTTCGTGGCCCCGTAGGGAGCTCCACCGAAGGCGCCAGTGGCAGGCTTCGCATGGCGGCCCCGCGTTTTGGCGCACCCCTCACACGGTTCGTGGCCCCATAGGGAGCTCCACCGAAGGCCTCGGTGGCAGGGTTCGCATGGCGGCCCCGCCCCATTTTGGCGCACCCCTCACACGGTTCGTGGCCCCATAGGGAGCTCCACCGAAGGCCCCAGTGGCAGGGTTCGCATGGCGGCATCGCATGTTGGCGCACCCCTCACACGGTTCGTGGCCCCACAGGGACTCCACCGAAAAGCTCTGCGGCAGGGTTCGCATGGCGGCCCCGCCCGATTTTGGCGCACCCCTCACGCGGTTCGTGGCCCCATAGGGAGCTCCACCGACGGCCCCAGTGGCAGGGTTCGCATGGCGGCCCTGCGCCATTTTGGCGCACCCCTCACACGGTTCGTGGCCCCATAGGGAACTCAACCGAAGGTCCCAGTGGCAAGGTTGGCATGGCAGCCCCGCTGCGTTTTGGCGCACCCCTCACACGTTTCGTGGCCCCATGGTGTCGCTCCGCTCCTTTTCTCCTCTCTCTCGTATGTGCCTGTCATAGCTCTCGCAGCCTTTTAGGCTTTATGCCCGTCATGGGGTAGCCCTAGACGCGCAAGACATCCGCGCGACGCTTGTACTGAGAAACGTGTGTGCACCTCTCCCCCCGACCCCACTTTGAATGGTAGCCGGAGCGTGGTTGAAGGAGAGCAGAGGCAGGCACGCGACAGGAGATCGAGCGCCGAGTGGAGAGACTCACAAGTCTATGTGGCTGCCGCAGACGGGAGAGAAGAACTCGAATTTCAGGATGCTCAAGTACAGTGTGAGGCTGACCAGGATCAGCTAGACCAGTGGGGGGACGACTGGTGGAACACTGCCGCGAGCTGGTGGAATAGCTCTGCCCAGTGGTGGTCCAATCAGGACTGGTGGGGTGAGGACAATAAGTATTCTTCAGAGCGCCCTCGAGACTTCTCACAGCCGCCAACCTTCCTAGGCATGGAGCACCTTGAAGTATATCTGGGAAACCTGACGTCGTGGACGAAGCGTGCAGATTACGCTCCCGAGGCACAGGCTGCCAAGATTCTCGAGGGATACTCCATTGAGCTGCAGACCAAATTCCGAGGCATACGAGAGACCCTGGACAGAGATGACGGAGTGTTCAAGCTGATAGATCATCTGAAATTACTGTCGGGCGAACGACCGGGAGATCGCGAGAGGGAAGCACAGCATGCCGCACTGTTCGAATTTGGAATACATCGGGGCGAGTCTCTCACAGAGTATGTAGTCAGGCGAGACTCGCAGATCTCTCGAGCTGAGGCCTACGGACTGACGCTGCCAGACAGTGTCAAAGCTCGCTTCTTCGAAGAAGGCTCTCAGCTGCAAGGCCAGATGAAGATCAATCTACGAACGCTCATGGCCGGGGACACGTCCAATGCGGCAGTGAGGAAGGCGTTGCTGCTTCTCGACGTGTCCGACAAGTCTGTGTTGCCGAAGCCCTCCGCCTCCAAGTCTTTCGCCGCCTCTCTCGAGGAACAGGAACCAGATGATCAGAGCGACCAGATGGATCTTCACGACGTTGAGTTCAGCGAGGCGGAAGCAGCATCGTTTCTGACGACCCTCGAAGCAGAATATCTCTACGAGGATGAAGCGTTTCAGGTATTCGCAGATCTGGCAGAGCCTCGTAGACGAAAGACCTGGAAAGAGGCTAGACAACTCAACACAGCCAGAAAGGTAGATCGGGAATTTTTCGACAGACGGCGTGCTACATCTTCCGGGTCAGGAACTCGCCGGATCTCCAAGGGTGACCTGAAGGCACGCACCAGATGCACCAACTGCGGGGAAACAGGACACTGGAAAGAAGATTGTAAACGTCCCTACAGATCCAAGGAGGAAAGGCTGAAATCCGAGAAAGGTCCCAGTTCGAGAAAGCCAACTCAAGGATCCGGGGACGACTTCTTCTTCTCGTTCGACGCTTTTGGGACCTCCGCCCCTACCTGGGCCACGTTATTGGAGCACCTGGGTGCGGCCACGAAATCGGTCGAGGAGGACTTCTCAGAGAGTACGCTACACGACATGGGAGATCACGGTCTGGTGGATACAGCAGCGGCGCAGGCCCTGGTAGGCAAGCCAGACCTCGAGCACATGAAGATGTCGTTCGCTCAGAAGGGATTCAGGATTCACGTCACCTTCGACGAGAGCTTGCCGTATGCTAACGGAGTGGGAGGAGGAATCAAGCCCATAGCTCGTGCGGCCGTCCCTCTGTCGTTCTGGAGATGCGGTGTCTTGGAATCCCACCAGCCCTCTGGGCGTCGGTGGTTTAGAGCGTTTCCTCTTCCACCCCTCCTTCTTCCCCTTCGGGGAGGGGTTTACCCCCCCCCCTACGCCCTCCCCACTGACCTGGACAAGGGGGGCCGCGATCGGTCAGAGCGTCCAAAACGGCCTCGGCGAGGAAGCCAAAATCATTGATTTTACTATGGTTTGGGCCCCATTTTGGCCTTCTGAGGGGGGGGCTCCAATTTAGGAACCCCCCTTCTTTGATCGATTTCCTCCACGATGGCCGCAAGAGGCCCCCAGGCTGCCCCAAGAGGCCGCAGGATGGCCCCAAGATGGCCCCAAGAGGCCCCCCCAAGAGGCCCCCAGGAGGCCCCCAAGAGACCCCCAAGAGGCCCCAAGAGACCCCCCAGAGGCACCCAAGGTGCTCCCAGAGGCCCCAAGATGGCCCCAAGAGGCCCCCAGGAGGCCCCAAAGAGGATTCCGAACGGCCCACAGAGGCCCCCCCGAGGCACCCAAGACGCCGAAAAGCCCCTCAGGACGACCCTCTACTCGCCTGGGCGTCGTTTCTGGACGGGCTGGTGGGGATACGCGAAGCGTCTAGAATTTCTCGTATTACCACACCCTTGCCCTTCGTTGATTCCAGCAAGGTTTCTGGACTTCATGGGGGCCGTCATAGACATGACTCAGAACCGCATCGCGTTCGGAGATGGTGAAGCTGAAATTCCTATGTTGCGACTTCCGTCTGGTCACAGGTCGATCTGTCTGATTGGATGCGATCCGAAGGAGTTCCGACTGAATCAAGATATCCAGGATCAGTTTCCCAGTTTCGTGATCGATCAGGAGATCCAGCAGAAGGAGAGCTCCAACGACTACTGGCAGGTGATGGGGGACAAGGTGAGGCTGTTTCACGTCAGACCCCGCAGGGGGCTAGTGGTCCCCAGCTCAGAGATGTCGATGCCAGTTCAATTGGAGGATTTGACAAGTGAGAGGACTACCTGCTGCCGCTTTCGCGATGAGCAAGGGATCTGGATCGAGCACTTCCACGAGCACGAGTGGACGAAAGACGACATCAAGACGGTCATGCCGGACTACTGGGTCGACTTCACGGAGTTCCGCAGGAAGTCGAGCAGCCAGGACCGCAGCCGCGAGCGGGGCCCAGGGGGCTCGGACCGGCCGCCTCTGTCGCAACTGTCTCTCTCCTCCTCTCTTCTCGTCTCCGATCGTCACATCAGCGAGAGTGCTGGCAGGGGTGTGAACGGCTCAAGTCGTCCGACTCCCCCCTCCGTAGCTCTCTCGTCTCGAGCCGTTTCTTTGGCCATCGATCCAGGAAGGATCCATGAGAGCTTCCAGGAGGATTCAGCAACCACCTCCCATGCAGAAGAGGAAGGTGGCGGCAGTGATGGCCAGGGCCCGCCCTGGCCATCACTGCCGCCACCTTCCTCTTGACGAGCCCCGATCTGGAGGCGATCGACGAGGATTCCGAGATCGAGGCCAACTGGGACATGACCCCAGACCCGTGGCACGATGGAGAGCTGGTGCGCATCGACTATAGCGACGTCGAGCTGACGGAGATCGAGAACGGTCTGCTGAACGAGGGCGGGTATATCCTCACGCCGATGCAGCATCGCTGGCGTCGGTGGGCTCTCACGCTGATGATCATGCTGAAGACTTGCTCGGACTAACGCCTGTTGGCGAGTCTAGCGCCCAAGTGGAGGACCAGCACGACGAAGCCCATCAAGGAGGAGGACTGCGATCACCCGATCTGTGCCAGGTCAACGCATGCGAACCAGTACGCGAAGTGGGTCAACTGCAAGAAACGTGGTACCAGGCTGGAGACCGAGCGCTGGACCCCGGAGGAGAAGATGCAACGCAAGTTGGAGCGCGAGAGGGTCAAGCCCGAGGACGTCACCAAGGAGGAAGAGCAACACCTGGTGAGGATGGCGATCAAGGTCCGCAATGGAGACTACCAGGAGAAGAGTCCCGGGCCGCAGGAGCGCCCTCCACACAGTCCAGGATCGTCGCACGCGGCGCTGAGCAGAGCCCCGCCTTTGAAGTACAAGATGCATCCGATCCTGGAGACGGTGCCGATGAAGCCGCCGCCGCCCAGACTCACAGCGAGGAAGAGCACGCCCGCAGTGAGGCAGTCAGACTCGGATGGCCGCAGCCCGGAGTTCGAGCGTCTCCTG